AAACTCTGTGGGTGGCTTTCCTAGTAAAATAATATGTATGCCTGTTCTATACAACGATGTGTTTGTCTAAAACACCCACGGAGAGTTATGGAGGGCTCAGGAGACTGTTCCAGGACCCTGTCCAGCTTCCCACTGTAACTGGTGGGACCTTGGGGACAGGCTCGTCTGCCTCCCCTTGCTTTCTCACTGTCTGACCTTTGGATGAGGAGGTACCCTGCACTTCAAGTGCAAAGAGAAGCTAAGAGGGGCTGTCTGTCTTTGCTTGCTGGATTCATTAATTTAAAGAAATGTATCCTGTTTACATTTCTGGCAACATTTCTTTGATTTGGATGGTGGCCAAAGGCCAACAATTTGGCTGAGTGGGTTTTTTAAAAACAGCCTTCCAAATACACATGTGTTGTATGAGTGCACATTCAAAACCAGAAAGTGTCTTCCATCTAACTGTTTCATCCTGTAGGAAAGCTAATCCTATTTACTAGCGTTTATGTCTAATTTAGCTTTAGTATTTACTATGGAAAGGTTTTAGTGAGGAATGACTGCTTTAAAAAGATTTGGTTTGATCAGGGCATAAACTGACAAAGTCTCTTTGGAAATGAGAAAACAGGAGTTGCAGTTTTTGGTCTTCATCCAGTAAAACAAAAAAAACCCCCAGATCTACATCCCCAGCAGGCAGGGAATCTAGCCCTTGACTCAACGTTTAAATTGCTAGATTAATAAATCGTCTTTAAAAAGCTCCTTGAACAGTTTAAAGTGTTACATTGTGTTGAGATGAAGTCATCAAACTGCTTCAGACTGTAGCTATTTATATTTGCACAACCGAATAAAATGTATGGTTATCAAAAAATTAAGCCTTCTGTAACACTGCCAGCAAGGAAACGTCAGTTGTCTTCTGGCCATTTTTCCCCCTTTTAGGTGTATATGAATTTCAGGATTTTCTCGGCTTTCATATTTTAGGAAATTGGCCTTTTATTAGAAAAGATAGGGTAAGATGTCTTACTATGCTACACCTCCTATGCTGATATCTTACTTCTCAGACTCTAGCAGCTCTCATTAGTTCTGTAGAAGTAAACACAGTGTTGCCAGTGACCTTAAGCTGCAGAGTGAGCTCACATCTCTCTCTAAAAAGGAAGAAAAGTGGACTTGGAACTTCAATGGATATCACAAAGTAGAAAACTTACCTGAAACTCAGTTTCAGATTGCCAGGACAAAATTGGTAAGGAGCAGTTTTTGACTTGAATAATTTAAATGGGCAAAAGAGAAACATCTTTTTGTCGCTCTTGATCCCTTTTTCTTGCAAATGAAGAGGAAGATACTGACCACGGGCCCCTGCTAACTGTTTTAATTCAGAGTTGATCTCAGTTTTGCCAACTGCCTTGGATTTGGGAAAAGAGAACAAGAAGTCTTTTCCTTGTGGCTGGACCCATGAGTTGGGACCCCTCCAGCTTGCTGGGTGGCGCTGTGCAGAGGGAGGCAAGGCCAGCTGCTGTCGGGCAGGCTAGCTTTGTGCGTGTGTGCATTCGTGTGTGTGTGTGTGTGTGTGTGTGTGTGTATGTGTGTGTGTGCTTTAAGCCAAACTCAGGTTCATCCCCAGTCACTGGGGAAGGCCTGGTGTGTGCACTGTTGGAAACAGTCTCACTAAATGACCTTCAGGCTTCTGAGTCTGGTTTGGCCCCTTGCCTTTGTCTCTGATATATAAAAATTATACTCCTCAGGGGTCGTGGGTTTAACTGGGGTGAGGTCACACTCCTCGTGAAGCTAAACTCTTTAGTGTTTAAATATGGCACCTAAAAAGGTACCTTGTGGGTCAGAGGCCATTTTCTACATTGAGTTGCAGGCCTGGCAGATAGGTTGGTTATCTGGACAAAGCAGACCTGCTTGCCACCCAGCAAGGCCTTCTCCTTCCCCTAACACTCTCTTCCTCAGGCTGTTTCTCCATCCCCTTGACCTTGGTTGGAGGCTGGAGTCCTGCCCCAGCTCCCTCACCACGCTTGGGGCTGGATACCCAGATGACAGGGACTCTTCTGATGGGGACAAAAAGGCCAAGACTCTCTGAGACCTCCCCAAGCACATCTGTGCTACCTTCTACGTGTCCCGATGATCTTTGCTGTGCAGCATGTGGAGAATAGGAATCATCTTTGTGACCTTGGGTTCTCAAACCTTTGGCCTTTCATTCTTTGGGAAGGCAGGAGATTGCAGTAAAATCTAAGAGAATGGGAGATGGGAAAGCCAGAGGCAGCGGTGAGAGTGAGGAGCAGGGAGGAGAACGTGGAGGACATGTCTGCAGTCCTCGGGACAGGTTCTGACCCACTGTTCTTGCTCATTCACACGAACGCGCACTGGCAGGAGGTTAGCCAGAGAGCCAGCTCCTCTTGGGATCCCAGCAAGCCTCACCTTTTCCCACTTTCTCTTTCCTTTGACATCTGATGCCCCTCCATTTCCAAGCCGTATAGTGGGAACACGTTGCCACGATTGTTAGGTAACTTTTTGAAAGCTTTTTATTTTGAAATAATTATAGGTTAATAAGAAGTTGCAAAGATAGCATGGAGAGGGGCCACCCAGTTTTCCCAGTTGTTATGATATGCACAGTTGGAGTATGACATCAAAGCCAGGAAATGACATTGATGCAGTACATGTGGTAGGACAGTGCTGTCTCCTCTGTCTGGTTTGTGTGACCATCACAGTCAAAACCACAGACATGTCCTCCAGCCCCTTTCAGTCAGTCCCACTTCTTTCCGTCACTGACCCCTAGCAACTGCTGATCTGCTGTCCATCTCTATAATAATGTCATTTTGAGAATATTATAAACAGAATCATAGGTTGTCACCTTTTGAGGTTGATTTCTTTCATTTAGCCCAGTGTCCTCCAGGTCTATCCAGGTTGCTGCGTGTCAGTAGTTCATTCATTTTTTTTTTTTTTTTTTTGTAACTACTGAACTACACCTCCAGCCTCATTTGCCCCTTTTATTGTAGAGCAGTATTTTATGGTATGAATATACTACCGTTTGTTCCCCAGCTTGGGGCTCTTTGCATCTAGCTGTTGTGGACATCACTAGAGAGGTTGTGTATAGACTTTGGTTATCATTTCTTTTTTTCTTTTCTTTTTTTTTTTTTTTTTTTTGGTACCGGGGATCAAACTCAGGACCTTGCACTTTCGAGGCAGGTGGCGGCACCACTGAGCTAAATCCCCAGCCCTGGTTATCATTTCTTTGAAACAAGTGCCTGGGAGTGAAGTTGCCTGCTTGTATGGTGAGTGTACATTTAGCTCTGCACAAGTTTCCACCACCACCAGCAATGTGTGAAAGCCTCAGCTTCCCTGTATCCTCACTGCCTCTCAGGGATGCTGTGGTCTTTTCTTCCAGTGTGTGTGAGACCATCCTTTACCTGCTGATCTGTTTTTGTGTAGGTCCTCCAGTGACATTCTCAGCATGTCCACGGGCCATTTTCTATCTGGATTGCTTGTTTTTTGTAACTGTTGAATTTAGAGTGTTCTTCACATATTCAGTACATGAGTCCTTTGTCAGATATGAGGTTGGCAAATACTTTCTTCCATTGTGTGTGGATTCACAGAAGCGGACATGGTCACCGAGCCCTGCAGCGGGCACTCTGAGGAGCACCTTTATCCAGACAGGCACTGTGGTTCAAGGAGCAGGCCACACTGACACATCTGCTCTGCCCCAGTCATTGGCAGCAAAGCCTTTTAGAATAAGTGTCAATTGAAAGCATCAGACTGTCCACTTTACAGGGGTGAATTGGCTGGTATGGGAGCTATCTTATAGTAAGGCCAATATTAAAAGAAAGAAAGGAGGGGTGAAAAAGAATTAAGATGTGTTATGCACATGTACCAATTCCACACAAGGAATGTAATCATTATGTACTGCAAACGTGTACCAATAAAAATAAAATATTTATTAGGAAAAAGAGCTGGGCATGGTGGCACATGCTTCTAGTCCCAACACTTGGGAGGCTGAGGCAGGAGGATCGCTGTGAGTTTGAGGCCAACCTGAGCTATCTAGCAAGACCTCGTCTCCAAAAAAAAAGAGTAAGTACCAGGTGGGAGTGATGGCTCTGGAGGACCGGCCTGCTAGGGTACCCCGAGGCAGGGGCTTTCCTTGCACGCACCTCACTGCCTCCTCCCACCTCCACTGCTCTATGAGTGCTGAGCAAGCGGGGGCCCAGTGACCCTGGAGGACTCAGGTGCCTTCAGAGACACTTTGGTTACTTTGAAAGCACTGCTAGCATAGGACAAAGTAGACCTGCTTGCTGCCTGGCAAGGCAGTTTCCTTTCCCTAACACTTATTTAGGCAGTTTCTCCATCCTTTCGACCTGTCTGTGAGGTTAGAAAAGGGGGGATGCCAACTTTATTTTTAACAGTGAGGAAAGAAGCAAAAGAAAGGAAAATGGTTTCTCATGCCACAGACAGTGGCAGCATTAGGCTGAGGACAGGCTCCCTTGCCATGTGGGCTAGCTTGACTCCTGTCCCGTTTCTGTCTGGTCCTGTCTTGTGGCTGTGATGCCTGTGCACACATTTTCCCATGTATTTTAAGTGGGCACAATCAGCTGTGTCCTCTAGGAGCTACAAGGTTCAGGGGCGATGGCAGAAACAGTGCTAGTCATTGTTGTAAATGTTCTCAGACCATTGTCCTTTTTACAGTGCGGCTGATTTTCCAATGAAACTTGCTGTTTTGTGCTTCCTCCCCCCTCAGCTGGCCTCTTTCCAGTGCTTTTTATACAAGGAGAGGGAAAGGCCAGCCTCTGTGCATGTGTGCGTGTGTGTATGCGTGTGTGTGTCTGTCTGTCTGTCTGTCTGTCTCCATAAGAGCTTGGTCCTAGGAGTTTAGACATTCGTGCCATGACAAAACAAACCATGAGATGAGCTCTGGTTGCAAACTTGACAGTTTGAGAGTGTTCTGCTTTATGACACCCAGGGCTCGTATGGAGGTTCTCGTTCAAGATTTAGTCTCAGAGCACAATTAAATCTTTTTCCCTTCTCTTATTTCCTAGGGCTCCAGGGTGCTTGTTGATGCACGAGACAAGCTTGGCATTCCTTGGCAGCACTCTGAAAATGAAAAGCATGGGATGTTCCTGATGGCCTTCGAGAACAAAGCAGGGCTTCCCGTGGAACCCGCCACCTTCCAGCTCTACGTGCCGGCTCTGAGCGCGCTCTGGGGGGACTCTGGGATCCGGGAGGCTTTCAGCCGAAGGAGCGAGTTCCAGCTGGTGAGTGAGTTCCTGCTTTTACCTCTATTTTTTTTTTTTTTTTTTGAGACAGGCTCTCACTAAGTTGCCCAGGCTTGGCTCAAACTTACCTCCACCTCCCACAGTACAACCTGAGATTATAGATGTGCAACCATGCCCAGCTTACCTGATATTTTACGTGTTAGTAGAATTTCCTTAAAAATTGTAAAACCATCGGCAAGCTGTACATTGCTATAGATCCTAATATTCAACAACAAAAACACACAAGGAACCCAATTAAGCTATCTGAATGGTTCAAGAGGAAACAGTTCACTCTAGCCAAACGCTTTTGTTCAAGGAAAAAGAAAAGTTTTTAAAATATGAAAGATTGGTGCAACTGGGAATCTCGTCCATAGCAGGAAATGAGTTTCTCCTGCACACAGCTCTCCACCTGGGGGTGTGGGGACAGCAGACCCTGAGCATTTCCTGGTCAAGCTTGGAAGCATCTGGCCCTTTGCTACTCTGTTCCCTTCAGATCTGATTCTCCTGCTTTAAGGTCTGAAGTTGTGAAAGGGCTAGCTAGTCATTTTAGTCATCTAGACCGGGTTAGCATAAGTATTATCAGAAAGTGTGAGTGTTTTGCCTGTCTGCCTTTTGGTTTTGCCTGACTACTTTTAGCATGGACAGAGTGCCGAGAGATGTACTGATCTTCCCCTGACCAGATCAGGTGTGCACGGCTGACCCTTGTGCACACCCAGTGTATTTGGGCTCCGGAAGCACTGCTGGGGCCTCTTCATGTCTTTGTCCTAAGTGCCCAGATCCCAAGTCTCACATCATTTGTCCCTGGCTTTCCCTTTCTGGTTTTACTGTAATATATATTTATTTTTAAGCAACAGAGCCTTGCTTTTTACAGATTTTCACACTCTAAGTGAATGGTTTCCTCCTGTACCTAGTCTTCTGGGCTTGCCTTTGTCACTTGGCAATTTTAGATTTACTCACCTGGTTTTCCGTTTTCCCTGCTACCTAATGTTCCATCCTGTGAATACGCTGGGTCTGCTCGCTCCCACTGGCACAGTCCTAGAGTGTTTCCTGTTTTGCTGTTGCAGATAAACTCCTACAATCTTTGTCTTCTCCAGATGTACTTGATCAAGGGTTCCTGTAGGAAGTACACTGTGGAATATAATTGCCAGGTTACAAGCATGTTTATCTCCAAATAGACACAATATAACCAACTTCCCAAAATGGCAGTACCAGTTACACCCCACCAGCATGGGAATTCCAGTTGTTCCACATACAGGCCAATATTTCATGTTAACAGACTTGAATTTTTAATTGTATCTCATTATGGTTTCGTGGAAGTTGCCCTGAGTTTACTAGCTCTACATGTTTTCCCTTCTGGGATACCTGCTGTGTCCTTCACCCATTTTTTCCCTCCTGAGTTGGTTTTATTTTCTTGAGCACCCATGAGGCTCTGCAGATAGTCTGCTGATCACCCTCTCAGTTCAGTTTCCACATATGCATCAGCTCATTTCCTGCAATGCTAACATCTTACCAACCTCAGTACCGTGATCAGAACAAGGAAATTACAGGCACTGTGCAATTAATCAACTATAGACTTTATTTAAACTTAACTTGTTTTTCCTCTGATGTCCCTCTTTCACCCAGGGAGCAGCCCTGAATTCCCCACTGTGGTGGGTGTCTGTCCCCTTGGTCCCTTCGATTTGTGACAGCTCCTTGGTCTCTCCTTGGCTTTTCTGACCTGGACATATACAGACCACTTGCCAGTTATCTTGCAGATGTCCTTGTCTAGATCTTTCTGGTGTTTTCTCATCACTAGAGTGAGGCAATACATTCTTTGGCAAGAAAAGCACAGAAGTGACACTGTCCCAAATCCAGAGCACCCCGTCAGGTCTACATGGTGTGGACAAGTCCAGCTACTGTGAAGTGAGCCTCAGTGGTCAAGGCAGCACCTGCCAGCCATCTCCCCTGGAAAGCTGTTATTTTTCCCTATATAATGGTCGAAGTTTTGAGATACTTTGACACTATGCCTGTATCCTGTTTCTCCTTAAGATTTTGCCCACTGATTTTATTTTTACTGCATTTTTTGTTTTTGTTTTTGTTTTTGTTTGTTACCGGGGATTGAACTTGGGTCCTTGCGCTTGCACAGCAGGCGGCCAAACCACTGAGCTAAATCCCTAGCCCTTTTTACTGCATTTTTATTGGTACATTTTAGATACATAATGATCACATTCATCATGGGGAATTTGTACCTGTGCATGATATATCTTGCTGCTTCTTTTTTCCCCATCTCCTCCCCTCCTTTCAACCCCCTCTTCCCTTCCTTCTTTATAAAAGCTTTGCTTCCATTTTTTCCTTCTATTTGGGTTTTTTTTCTTCTCCCTTCCTTCCTTTCTCCCTTCTTCGTCCCCCCTCCCTTGTTCCACTTCTCATTTGAATATTTTCTTCCCAATATCTATTATACATTTTGATCCTTATTTCCACTTTTGGTTTCTCACATCAGAGACAATGTGGTATTTAAACATGTGTCTGATTTATTTCACTTAGGAGTAAGGTCTCGAGGTCCATCCATTTGGCTAGAAATGTCTCAAGTTTATCCTTCTTTATGGCATAGTAGTACTCCATTGTATAAAAAACACATCTTCTTTATCCACTCACTGAATGATGGAAATTTGAGCTGTTTCCAAGAGTTAGCTGTTATACACTGTGCTGCTATAAACGTGGGTGTGCATATATTGCTATGATATGATGCTTTTAATTCTTTCGGGAAGAAAAGGAAAATAGTCTGGGTTAAGTGGGACCTCTAGTTTTAGGGGATTTTTTTTTTTT